GCAATGTAGGCGACCACGGCCAAATCGGCTGCGACGCTCGTCTAGTGCTGTGGACCGAAAATAAACAGCACAAGTAGGGGTGGATGAAAACCTCTCCGCAGTAGCACTGGTTCTCCATGGTCGGGGGGGGAGGTCGCCTGGTAAAGGGACACCAAACAGGGCCCCTAATTTTGACGACCCCCCACTGGTTTCCCTTGAGGGCAGCCTTGGATGGTTTCTGCAGAAAACCACCGAGGTCCCCAATTTTGACACAAACCCACATTCCGCTGCCCTCCCCAGGCTAGCACGGAAGCTCCAAGACAGATTTGGAAGACTTGGTTCCATTTCCAGAGGCCTTCTGGGAGCTTCCAGGAGTTAGTAGCTGGAAGGAGACTGACTGAGCCAGGGTTCTGCTTCAGCACCTCTGCCACGGCAGCTTTGTGGCTCGAGGGCCCATGTTCCAGCAAGACGCGAAGCACATAGTTGCCTCAGCCCGAAGGCTCCATCGTTCCCATATTTGTTTTAACACATATCGCTACCCATGTTTGTATTGTGACATGTGCGACCCCAATTGCCACGAAGAATCTCATGTGGGTAAATATCAATATGGAGCCTCAGATGTGGAAGAGCCATGTGTTTGCACGTACTTCCCAGGCGGGGTAACACGCCCGCAATGGGTAATTTAGGTGCACCAGGCTTTAGGTTTCTGGGTCATTGAACAAGAGCTGGGAAACCTTGTCAGTTGCTCAGAGACACGTGGAAGCCATCAGGGAAGAACGTTTGGGGCCAAGCTGGCATTTCCGAATCTGTTGCCGGGCCCAGGTGAACCAACAAGCAACCTAACACACAGCATGATGGATTGCAGCATAGCCTGCATAGCCTCTAAGTGTCCAACACCCATTCATTAAGCCGCCCATCCAAAAAGCACATCTTCGCCGCAGCTGCCGAAGGGATCAACCATCAGATCCTTCGTGTTCGTGACCAAGGTGTCCAGGAGGTCCTTCATGGCATTTGGAGGATACTGCTCCAGGATCCTTGGGACAAATGCGAGGAAAGCAAGAAGAAGCAAAAGGTTGTTGCATTGCATACTATGCTAGACTCGCCAAGCGAGGAACCCTTCAGCCCAACCCATTTGTCTGCAACATCTACAATAACTCAATTCCAAAACCTGAAAGCTAATGACTTTTCACTCATCCCCCCGGATCGGAGCACGCGCGCGCTCTCGCCCTTTCTTTGTGCCTTTGGGCTCGCTCGCCCGAGGCGCCGCTCCAAGACGCGGCAGGCGTAGCGGTGCTTCGCGAGCCGCGCCAAGGGCGCCCAGGCCATCAGCTCCTCCAAGATGAAGTAGCTGTCGCCCGGCCTCCTCAGAGCGGACCAAAGCGGACCAAAGCGGACCAAAGCGGAGCAGACCGTGGAGATCTCGGTCGACTGAAGCCGAAGCCCCCATAACTGTATTCAGGCGCAAACATGCGTGCTTGTGCGAAATGGGGGGGGGTCGGAAGCACAACTGGATCACGACTGCATTCTCACGTTACCTCCAAACAGAGCGCCCGAGCGTACCTGGAAGATAAGTTTCCTCACGGACCCCTCTGTCAGATGTGATGGCAATGTGAGAGGGAGCGCGACACATCGGGTCAACATATCACACAATTAGCACCCCTGGAGAAACAAATCACAAAGATGTGAAAATTGACAACAATGTCCAACAGAAATCCACAGGGGTCTTCCCAAAGCCGAATGGCCCGCCCCAAACCGATAATGCAGCAGGAATGTAGTCAGTTTCTCCCTGTAGAGACAAAACAGGGGCTTAAAACAACTATCAAAGCTAGAACACAGGTGGCAATGTCGCTTGGGTGGTTTCTTATACCTCCCAGGGAGATACCGTTCATGAACTAGCGCAAGCGGAAGAGTAGAAAACATGTCGGACCAACTCCACAGTTACCCGTCATTTTGTGCTTTGGGGCTCAACCAGAGAACGGCGGTCTGAAACCTTGAGATAAAATGGCGCCTAAGCATGGCCTTCGGAACAAGCTTCATGTAGTCCACGAACTTCTGAATGACATGGTTGCCATGCCCAGACTCCACCGCCTCGCGAACGTGGCCTGGAGGAAAGGGCACCACACGTCACACGGTGTCACATGGCCTGCTCAAAAGAAGCCCTGACTGCAAGGATCCCAAAGCACAGCTGAAATGGGCACGCCATCTCTTCCCCCAAATTACGAGAATATGTTTATTTAAAAACAACTGAAAACCAACGGACCCTTTCAATCGTTTCCACCCGGGAAAGGGTCATTTGGGTCGCCCCGCTCAAAGCTGCCACGAGCCTCGGAACTCGGAGGCCATTTCGTTCAGCTCCGCGTTGCTGGCCTTGCGAATCATCGCTTGGAGCTCCCAACAGCCGCGCTCCATCGCCATGGCCCTTGGCTGGCGGTTCGTAGCCGAACCGAACGGAAACCCAGGGGAAACCACGAGGAAACCAACCACTTTGAGGATTCCCTTGTCGTCTCAAACTTGGTTTGGGGTTGGCATAACACGAGCCCTAGGTGCGCTGTTGGACAAATAATCCAAACTTAAACCAGCGCCAACAAATTTCAAACAAACTAACCTAACAAGGACATGGCCAAAGAGCGGACAAAAGCTGGTATTTGGGCTGGGTGTGTTAAGAACGGACCTTGAGATCATTGGCTGGGCAATTGTTCATTGCAGTGGAAACCGTGCGCCACTACTTGGCCCAAAATTGGAGTACACCAAATATCACATGTTCAGATTCTGATTCAAAAATAGGTCACCACTGAAACACAACATAAATCTGGAGACGGCCCCAGACCAGGGGTTGACACCCTCCTTGCAAACCACGACAAATCCAAGGGGACTTTCAGTATCCCGAGGCTCAAATACTTGTGCTTCGGCGGCATCTTCGCCTCACAGGGTGTTGTTTTCGACCTGAGTAGGGCCTTCAAAACAACACGCAAAGGCTAACTTTTTGCAGGACTGTTTGAGACATGGAAACCAAAAGGTCAAGGGTTCCCTGCACACCCCGAACTTTTTGAGGGGTCTCACACCGGGCTACTCTTCAGCCTGAAACTTCATCACAACCCTTAGACAAGCCTGCGCTTGCGGCATGCCCCAGTCGCAGGACCAGGCGCCTGCAGCAGCTCCGGCGCACTCCTGGCAAGCTGTTTGGTCGGATTGGTTGCAGTTGTCATGCCGATTTCCCAAAAGAGGAAAGACGTGAGACTCTTCATGGTAAGCCAGGGGCACAGGTTCCCACACCACCTTGTCACAAAGAACCAAAGCTCAAAGAACAACCCCTTTGGCACACGCCCGAAAGAAGCGTAACAAACACAGGCAACAGTCGCTCAATACGCGATCGGAACCTGCCCATCAAAATAGTTGGAGCTTCCTTTTGACACCGTGAAATTGGTTGGGCTGTCCATGTCTGGGCCAATCTCTGGGGTTCACAAAACCGAAATATAGTTCTGATTGTGTTCCATATTCAGGTTTGCATGAAGTATTTAGAGCTCAATGGTTGTCATGTATCAACCCATTGGCGGCTCCTGCGGTACACAGCAGAACCATTGCCCCATCTCATTCATCCACATCTGCCCCATTGGAAACTGGGCCATTGGAAACTGGCCCTGGGCCGTCGGTGCCATCGAATACATCTGCACGAACTGCATGGAATCCATCGGCATCGCCATGGCGCAGGCCATCTTGTGGCCAAAGCGTGGATCGCAAACGAAGGGGTCAAGCGCCAAGCGTCTTGAGCCGCAACAGACACACATGGCGACTGTCTGACCCGGTGATAGGGATCCAAGAGGAATACACAAATCGCAAGCGTTGTTGGACCCGCTTGGAAGGTCTGGATCTTCACTACATGTTGGACCTTATAAAGCCTCGTTTTGAGATCCCAAGATTCTCAGGGTGGACAGTGGTTGCTTGCGTTGTGCAACTTGATCAAGGGGTATCCAGGCATCCATGTTGCAGCTCAGCTCCATACATGGAGCAAATAGAGTATCGGCGGTCGATCGGTCGCCATCAACTGCCCCAGAAAGTGCTGAGCCAACTGGAAACTGAGACGAACGTGTTGTTGTTGTTTTTTTTTGGGGGGGGTCTACTTTGACACACATCCAAACAACATGAGCAGTAGGGTCCGACGACTTGGCCGATGCAACCCCGTGTCCAACGAAAATTATCAGGCCGCCGAGGCCACTGCAAGTCGGAACATGTAGCCATCATCCCAAGTCAAGACCAATTTAGACCAAAAGGTTCGCCTCGCCAGGGTCACTCCATGCCGAATAGCTCCCACCTTCCCAGAGCTACCCCGAGGTGCCCTTGGGCCCCGCGCGATGCTATCACCGGAGCTGCCTGACGAATCGACTTTCATGGATTTCCACCGGTAGCAGCGGTCCTTTTGGTGTCCCAAAAAGCAGACCAAGAAAAATACACCAGCATAGGTCATGTGGTTAATCATTGGAAATGGATCCCTTGGAGATGCTCGTGGCGGATAATTCTGTCCGGGTGTTCATTAACATGCACAGGCTGAAGCCAAACGAACACTACATAGCGCCAATACACATCCTCCGGCCACTCAAAAAAGAACTGCACCCCGAGCCTGCACTTGAGCATGAGGCCGACCGGGAGCGACGGGAGGAGCCGCGGGTGTCGCTGCGGCAGCGGCTCTGACCTCACCGGAAGTCCGAGTCCGCGCCTCAATCCAGCCGAAACGTATGGACAACATTGGCTGAGTCATTTGTTCTTTCTTAAATTGTGAATTTGACCTTGGGTTCGTGCTTTTGATGGCAGCCACAGCTGCACCAGTCATATCTGCTATGGGCATTGCTTGAATTCCAAGCTTCTATTGCCAGTGCATTCAGCTTTCAAACTCTTGCCAACATGTGCCCACTACGGGAAAAAGGCCCCCCTTGGCAATCCGGTAATACCTGACTGTGCGCCTCAAACTTTCGTGGAAACCACTTGCCGCAATTTTAGGCTGCCAGAGCCCAATCCAATGCCCTTGGCATCAAGCAAAGAGTGTACCTTCACTGTGCCGAGCAATGAGGGCCATGAGGGCGATGTCCCAGAAAAACGTCAGTTGGTGTAATCGCATCCCTACCTCACTCTGATTTAGGCCCCACGGAAACCCTGCCCCACCCCAAAGCCAACCAACCCCTCCGGGACTTCCTGCTGCGGCTGCCCTCCCGCTTGTCGCAGCTGCGCATGAGTCGTTCCACACCCACCTGGACTTATCCCGGCTGAGATGCCAATAGTGTACCCTGCTATCAAACATGGTGTGGTGCACACGCACACACCCACACTCACACACACACACACTTGAAAAGATTTCGCCGATGCGCTTCCATGTTGGTGGAAGGATTGCAGCCGCTATATCATGCACGGAACAACTTTCCAAGAGGATGCGTCGCCTTCCAAACGAAGCCTACCAAATAGTGAGGGGATCAACCCAGGCTTTGAAACCACGGTCGTTGCAAAACAACTGTGGCGATCCCTCATGAAGACTCCCACTTCCACCTCAATCCAAAAACATGTTCAGCATTATTCTGTCCCACTTTGGGGTAGAACATGGGCTGTGACACGAAAGGTTCCCATGGGAGATCTGCCAAAGTCGTGCCAATGCAAAGATTTCCCAACCCAGGACGTACAACATTGATTTGGGTCTGTTGTACAGCCCATCCTTTGCCCAACAGTCCAGTGGCGTGGCGTGCCTTGGCTTTGAGGCTTGACCATCGTGGCCTGTATTCCTGAGGCCTTCTTTCTGGAGCCAGGTTGGTGAAACAACTAGATGTGCAGAGTGTCGACTCTGAATGGTTTTCATTTCCACCTGAAGCCTGCTGCAGTGGAGCATTTGTGACAGCCATCTGAATCTTGCTCGCCGATGGCCCAACATATTTCCGATGGCACATCCGATGAACTGCCCGGGGAGCCACCAAACCTTGCAGCGATTCTTGCAACTGTCAACTAAGACCCGAACCTATCACCCTCAAATCCTCTAGACTCCAAACCAAGCTGAGACTCTACAAACCTGCCACAACAAATCTATCCTAGCAAGGATTGTCTGGGCCTGTGCTTGCTTCCGCCTCGCTCCCCCGGCCTTGGCTTGGTCCAGCGCCGAGGGGTCACCCTGGATGTACAAGGTGCTGTAGCCCTCGCTCGAAGTGGGCCAGTCGGGTCGGAGAACTTGCCTACTGGCTCCAGTCTCATCGAGTGCGGCTCCTCTTTTTTCGAGGCTCGGCGCGTTGCTTTGAAAAAAAGCCAAAACCCAAAGAAAAAACAAAAAGTACCATGTTCAGGCGGTCCAATTCCTATTAGACAAACCCTTTCAAACGGACACGTTGCAACTGCGAGTCTCGCCTCCTTGGCGGTCGACTGGTCAAACCACATCCTCGGGCGAACACCGCCCAGCTCGCCCATCGGCGTGTCACTCATGCAAGATCCGTGTTGCTAGGCTGTCGAGTTTTGATAGCATTGTTGAAGCGTCAAATGCAGGGCCTTGGTTGAAATAAGGTGTGCAACGAGTTCTCAAATGTATGTGTTTTCCTTGTGGTGCATTCGGCCAAACCAGCATGCCCCTTGCCCCCTGACCCTGAAGTGTTTACAACCCCAACTTGCCTTTCGGTTGATCCGAACAAGCAGGTTGGGGGTCGGGAAGAACAGGGTCCCCATGCACAACCAACCCGCTTGATGTGACCATGGCCCCGGCTCCTTTGATCGGAATTCTTGCGGTGTCCAATCTGAAAAGCATCTATGACCATCGTTGGCAACCCAAGGTCACTTGGCCATGGCACAAAACGCTGACTCATCCTCGTCGCTTGTACAGCGTTAAAGAAAAGTAAGCAAACGGCACGTCAACGCGTGAATTTTGGAGGAGGGGCAGTTGGATAAGCCAGAAGCGGCCAAGAACTTGGCTTTCAAGCTTGCATGCAGCGTCAGAAAGCGGGAGTCACACACCCGTCCCGTTTCTATGGCAGTGTCTCGAAGCAAAGTTTGTGAACGGCAACACATGGGCTGGCCTGCTAGCTCTCCCCACACCCCTCCTGTAAACCCTCCCCCTCCAACCCAACAAAACACTTCTCTATTTTCCTATACCTATCTCATAATGTTTACATGTTCTACTACTCAGTTCGCCTCCCCTCAAATGTCAAATTGTATTTTATTGTTGAAATAATTAAAAGCTTTAGGAAAAAAATGAAAACTACAAAGATAAAATTGCTGAAAAAAAATATAAATGGAAATGGATAGTATTCTGCTAAAACAATAAAAGGAAAAGGAACACACACACACACACACACAAACAGGCAGAAGACACACACACACACACATTGTTTGTTCTTTGTTGTTTGTTGTGTCAAAAAAAAAAAACCGCAGGACGTTCGGCCAAACAGAAATAGTCTTGGGGTAGTGTGGTCAGGAAGAGCCCAAAGGCAGACTCCAACCAACTGGGCAAGTTGTGTTTAAACAACCAAACCCCAGTCCCTTAAAGAAACAGCCAAACAAACAAAGCGATACCTTGGGTGTCTTTCCTTTTTTTGCGGAGATTCCAGTGGCCAAAACTGGGGGTTGATTCAAAGCGTTCCTTGTTTCAAGGCCACGAGGCGCGCGATTCGCCGAGCTGCTCCACCTGCCACAGCCCGCAGATTTCCTTCACTGTCTGGCCTTGCGGAGTCAAAGGGGCGTATTGAAGACCCGTTGGGTGTTCACAGAATCCAGCGAGTTGCTGGCAACGTGGGCTTGGCACGAGACAACCCGGCTCTTAGCGAGGAACGCAACTTGGCCACCCGCTTGGCAACAAACACCCGCTTGGCCACCCGCTGGGCTTGTCAACGAGAAAATTGCTCGTATCCAAAGGATCTGCAGGGCTTTTGGTTCACGTGCGTTTCACCTTTGAAAGCAAAGAACGTGTCTCTCTACTGGCAGGTCACCAAAGATTTCGCCTTTTGGGGAAAGCAAAGCAACAACGCGAAACAAACTGGGGAACCCTGAGATGAGCGTCGGCCTCCTCTTCCCAGCAAATAGCCCACGTATTTCTGCTCCACCTTCTCCTAGTCCAGGCTCTTGGCTCCGAGCTTTGATTGACTCCACTGAAACCGGGGGGGTGCCCCTTGGTCGGGTTTTCGTGTTGACTCCACTAACATTCCTTGCACTAACGCCTGGCTCCCTCGAATCCGGTAGGCGGGTCCGTTTTGCTTTCTCCGATGTTCATCTGAATCTGCCCAAATCCCAAAGCCCCATGGCCTAGTCTATGGATTTTGAGGGTCACAAAATGCATGGAGAAGGTATGACGTTGTACGGTGGATGGACAAAAGCCACAGAACGCACCAGTTGGGAGGTGGCATGTTTTAGTACTCGAGTGTCATCCATCCCAAGAGGCTCCGCCTTGCGCTCAAAGATGTCTTCGGTCGGGACGAGGCTTGATCATTTGAGTGTTCTAAGTTCAAACCGAGAAGTTGGTGGACAATGTCTACACGGTGTATCTCCAACCAAATGGGTCTTTCTGAAAGGGACCCCCAAAAAGGATGGCTTCCTCTTGATGTCCCTTTAGACCAAACTGAAAGCAGGGGTTTCCTTTTTCAACCAAAAAACAAACAAAAGTTGGTTGTTCGTTCCGTTCCCCACTGAAGTTGGCCATTTCTTGGGGCTCAGCCCTCATGTCCCACTGCGTCTGGCCGGTCCCGCACCTCCAACGTGGCCGCGCCGGGCCTCGGCGCAAAGCCCCGAAAAGGTGGCGAGCGGCGAGCGATGTGACGAGACCCGCAACATCTGTTGTCCAGATGGGAAGCATTGGGATTTCTGGGTTCTTCTGGGAAAAGGGTTTTGCTGGGTGATTGTTTCTGTGGGATTACAACTCAACCAGCACGAGGAGTCGTAGCCCAGACATGGCCCATGGGAAAAATTATGCGCTTTCATGAACATCACCGGCCGCCACCGTTCACGAGGTGAAGAAAGGAAGCTGTGCTGCTTTCCTGGGTGCCGAATTCTGAGATCTAGACAGATTGAACAAAAACACATCCCCTTTCGGTTTCCTCTGGAAATGAGAAAAATAATGTGCTATGTGGGCTATGTGGGTTTCTCTCAAAATCAAAAAACCCCCAAAATGGTTGGTTTCGTTTTGGTTGCCCTTTAAAACCAACCAAAAGCGGGTCCCCGTTTAGCAACCTGTTTCTTTTGCCGGACACGGCCCTTTGCGCTTTGCTCCAAGCGCTGGGCACGCCGAGCACGCGTCGCGAGGTGCGTGGTCCCTGCCAAACAAAAAGTGCACAAGTCCGACATCGAAAGTTGAGGAGCATTTGGGGGTGGTCTCAAAATAGGATTCAGAACCCGCAAACTGGGTTTCCTTTTGGCTCTCGCAAAACCCACCCCGAAAGGGTGCCACCTTAGTAGCAGCCCTGCAAACATATTCTCCAACAAACCGGAAATCTGAAAAATGGCCTGAGATGGGATGACTCGGAACCCTTCTGAGCTAAGAAATGGGGCCTTCAAAAACCTTTGGTGTCAATCTTTTTTACGAATTGGGTTGGCTGGAGCTATCCGCTTTCGGCCCCACCTTTGGGCTGCTGCTCCGGCCACGGGAGGGCCGCCTCGGCTGCTGAAAGCAAAGGTGCCGGAGACACCTCCAAAGCAGAAAGCCGCCGAAAACGAGGCCGCGTCAGGGGTCTAACAAGGAGCTACGGGATAATGGACCATTGACATCATGAAACAGCCCCTCGAAGTGGAAAATACCTCTCGAAGCATTGGACCTACTGCCCAGTTGCCCCAATCTGCCCACAAATCACAAGACACATCCTGCACTCCGAAAGAACATCAATCACTGCGAGGAGCCCCATCTATTGTCACACAGCCTCGTGTTCCACGGGCAAACAGGCGCATCTATCAAAGCAGTATTCATGCCCTTGCGATTTGATGGTGCAACAAACCCCGAGAACGATTTATGGTCTGGAAGCCTGCCACTTCAATCTTTCGCACCACAAAGCGAGCTTTGTTGAACGCCACTGCGAAGGCACAGGCGGTGCGCGTGCGTGTTTGCGTGCTCGGTGCCTCTCATTGAACGGATGTGTTGAAGTAGGCCTCGCCCTTGTGGGGTTCAATGTCTTTTTAACATGTGTGTCCTCAAAACTGGAACTTGCCCATGGCTAGGGCGCGACGATCCATATGTTGCAAGCATGTCTGAGCCAATGGTCATGATGAAAGGTCCCCTTGTGTTGTTGAAGTATGATTTTGTCCCACACTGCTCTTGACACCCCTTTCCCCTGCACATGTTCAAGGCATTTTGTGGCTTCACCGCCACAAACTGCTCCCACCCCTCCCCATCCAATAAGGTCTCCACGGGTTTGAATCGAACTCGAACTCGTACGCCAGCGGCGGCAAAGCCTCCCGAGATCATAAAGCCGAGCAAAGTGCATCCCCACCCACCCACCCCGCCAGTAATGGGTATTATACAAGTAACTTCTCAGCTTTGCCTCTGTGCACCTTAGAATTATTTCGACTTTTTGGGCCAGCAATAGTAAGCCTCCAGGCCCCCAAACACACTCGAGCCGAATTCCTTGGCGAAACTTCAAGAATGCAACATGTCCCTAGCACAATCATGCAACCCAACCTCTGCGTCTCTACTACAAAAGCCGAAAGTCGGGTCCTCTTTACCCTTGAAGCTACAACCCCTATGTGCAAGGTTTCATGGAAAAAACTTGCGTGGCCCCCATTTCCCAGCAAGAACCCCTGCATTTCGATGGCACGGGGAGTCACTCCCGGCTTCCCGAATCCGACCTTCAAGCCACCAAAGGCCTCGAAGGGCGCGCCCTGCGAGCGGTATCTGGAACACCAAAGCCGAGGCTCCCCAGAATGAACCACAAGCGGTCCAATCAGGACATGGGCATAAATTTCAAGAGGCCCTTTGGTGAACATCATCTAGGTTGGAATTCATGTCCACCAACCGCTTCCGAGGTCCTATTACAATGCATGGCCAAGTCAATTTTGCTCAGCCAAAACATGCACATGCTTTCTGGCAGTTGGTATGCGAATGAACAACCCAAGACGAAGACCACCGCAAACGGGTCATTTGGTTCACGCAAACCAGCAAAGGCCCAGCGTTTTGGCAGAAATGGACGCAATATCTGGCATGAGTTGCCATCTGCAACTGTGCAGCTACTCCCCACGCGGGGTAGCAGGTCGGTCTCCAGAAGAACATGCTACATTCACGTCATCAGCCCACAACCTACCGTGGACACTGGGTTGACTAATCCTTGCGCGGACAAAGGGAAGGGCAAAGCTTCCTGGAGGATACTTCCCGTGGCTGGGCCATGATCCATCTGGAAAGTTTCCAAACAGACTCCCGTTGAATAAGACTCTTGCACGGAGTCTTACTCCATCCAGTCCATTAAGCCAAAAACAAACCCTGCCTTGCGCCGTCCACCTTGGCCCAGAACTGAAGGCTCGCTGCGCATCGCGTCACGGACCCCCCCCCCCCCCCTTGGGCATCGCCCAATTGCGCGCCTCATCGAACCATCCAGGCTGTCCAGGCTGCCAGGCCTCACGCAGAACGGCTATTTGGGCCATTCACCCGCATCACCCAGCGGCCAAGATGCTGTAGGAAGGGAAGCTCGAGTCCTGGTAAAGGGAAGCCAAAGGAACACAAACCTGTCGACCCTCGTGGTTTGGTCATTGCTTTGAGGCTCGGAGCAACCCTGAAACGGGGCCCTGGATGCTCCGTGCTTGGAAGCTCCTCATTTGGTGGTAAATAGCAAAAAGGCAACTGGCTGTTGCCACCGTCTTTGGACTGCCACTCATCCCTCCATTTCCAATCTGGCAATCAAGCAATGTCTTCATCGGGCGCACTTAGCCAGTGCTGCCTCTCCTCACAATACTGCAACTGCTTGCTGTTCTTTGGCCACAAGCAGGCCTTGACCAGCCGTGTTGCATTAAATGGTGCCCTCAGGGACGCGAACACTGGTAGCGACCAGCGCTCGCCCGTCGTCAGCGGCGTGACACGATGGATATTCTCCCAGCCAGAGGTGAACAAGGCCACTCGCCCCCTTGCCGGGCGCAGGGTCGCCCGCCACATGCCTTGGGCGTCCCAAAATTGGAGCTCTCCGCCAGTCTCCGCGCTCTGCTCCGTGAGCCACAGCACCGCGGAGAAGTGGAAGCGCTCGAAGCTGCTCTCGTCGCAGTGGACCGTGCCTCACTGCTCTGAAATAGAACAAGGTGGGACTGGGAGGAAGGGTCAAAAGTCGTTGGAGATGCGGGAAGCTCAAAGAGGTCAGCCCCCAAAGGTCCAAAGTGCGCAAAGCCAACACCTCTTGTTCCAACAACAAAGTGAACTGCCTAACGCCCCGTTGTTCCATCTCGGACGGGGAATTCGAGGCGCCCTTGGATGAACCCGTTTCAGGATCCGGCACCAGGTAGCTCAGGAAGTGCGAAGCGATATGCACCCAGGACCGCGGCACCTTCGCAGCCAGCGCTATCAAGCACCGCAGCCGCTCCAGCACATACCTTCGATCCAAAAAAGCCGTTTGTTCTTTAGCAAGATGCTGATGGACAAAATCATTGTACATATTTTCATCTATCCCTCCACGCTGTGGTCATAAATGCCTCTAGCTCCAAAACTCTCCAAGTTTAAGGGTCATGCTGGGAGCCAAGGTACATGAAAAGGATGTGGCCCTCGCCCTGGCCGTGCCGGGCAGACACGGCAAAGTCCTGGTTCGCAAAGAATCCAAATGGGAGGGTGTTCTTGCGGGTAACCTTTTCTTTTTGGGGGGGGGTTGGTTCAAAGGTCCACCAAAAAGGGAAAAACACTTTTGGGGCGCTTACTGCATTCCTTTTTGCACACACCCAAAAAGGACCTGTTAAGTCCGTCTCAGAATCGAGGTCTACTTTGCCGGACTCCTTTCGACTTCGGCTGTCAGCTTGGAGGTGCAGCTCTTTCACTCTCTGCGCGTGCTGGACCAACTGCTCAGCTTCAGCCGCAGAAATGGCCTCGTCTAAGACCAGAACACCGCACTCTGCTCCACAATCCCCCTCCACACACCGCCTGCCCGGCTCCAGTCGCAACTCCAACAGCTCTTCGTCAAAGCGGCGTTTGTCCGCCGCTACCTGCGACGAGGGTCGCAGGCAGTCCACGCGCTCCTCGAAGACCCGGGGCGCGTGTTGAAACGTGGCCGCCGCGGCCAAGGGCGAAGCGACTTCAGCGCGGACGAATTTTGTTGGACCAGTCCTGCAGCGGCTCGGCGGTAGAGGTCCTCCGCGTCCGTGGACGAAAGGTTGCGGTCCGCTACTGGTCCGGCCCACGAAGCGTTGCAGTCTGAGGCGGCTACTGGAAGGAGGGCCCATGCCAGCTTCATCACCAAGCACATCACCGTGGGTGCATTGCATTTGGCGAAGGGAAAGCTGCTCAGATATGAATGGCTCAGTGTCAAGTATGCCGACGCTCAACCGAGCATATAAAAAGGACGGTTCAGATCCCGTATCCCACCACTTGGCTGGCACAAAAGTAGAAGCACCAGTCACATTGTCAACGAAATGTACCAAGGAACCTTGCCTTGGTGAAACAACTGTTCGGAGCCACTGTCACATGTGGCAGCGTCTCAATGATCAGCCCGCTTGTTGAATCCGTACGTTGTGATATGGCAAGACCATAGACCCCTTCAAGACCATCCCCTTATCCCCTTCATCACGGGCTTCCACCTCTTGTTTAGGACCCTCATGGGCCTGGTTTCGACTCAGGCCTGGGGATTGAAACCAAGGCTCAGAGCACATGCTGCCAACGCTGGGCCTGAAACCAAGGCTCCGACGAGGATGGTCAGCAACAAAAAAAACATATTATTGTTCCCCGACACGACGGAATCACTGACCCGTGGCCCACCCACGGACATGTCTCGCCTCCCACCCACACCCATCGAAGGCAGCGCCTGGGGCGATGCACCGAGTTTTGCGCTCACGCAGGAAAGGGATTCCTCTCTTGGATCCAGCAGGTTGATTAATTGCATCAAGACGAACTGGCATCCCCGCTTTGCCACGTGCTGAAGCAGCAATATGGGAAAACAAGAAAACACCACCCAGTCCTCAACGTGTGCGTGACCCCCACATGCGCATGAGGTTACCCATACCCACCAGAAACTGCCTGGCTCCTCGAAGGAGGGCATCCAGTCCAAGTCCACGCTCCTGCCAGCTCTGTTGGTTTGGTTCAGGGAAATTGCATCTGTTCAGTCTGGAAGTTGACGAGTTACACTGGTTTCTATGAAACCCGCTAGTGTTGGCTTGATGCGGCCTTTCATGCGTGATGGTCTTGGCTTGAATTAGGTTCGTTTGCCGCGCTAGTCGCATGGCGCCTGTCATCCTGCAAGTCCGGGTGGACATATGAAGGCTCCGGTGAGCTTCCGCAGGCCTAGGCTGAGGGGCTTCGCAAGTCGAGGTTGATCGGTTCTGCGCCCTCCAAATCCCTCCCCGGCGGATTAGTCTAGGCTTATCTTTTTTGGCGCACAGTACCCTCTTTTGGCTGGTTCCGAAGGGAAACCAAAATGAAAACCGCCATTTTGCGGGGTTCCCCCTGAAAAGGCACACTCGTTTTATCCTATGTTTGCTTGGAGCGAGTGGTTGGGGCTGGTGGGAACGCTCTTAGAGAAAGGGATTGTCGATGCCGGGCTCCAGGCAAAAAGCGGCTGTCAGGCTGTCATTTCCGAAAGCCGAACTCAATGTTCTCAAGTTGATCACAAGTGCCGGAAGGATCATTGATGATCATGCTCCACTGCCATTCCAAGCGGTACGGCATGCATAAACCACTCCCTGGCATTCTGATGCTGCATCATGTGGGGAAGGCGTGTTTGGCCTGACACTAACTCATAGTATCTCTCCCTTTGAGTGACAAAACGGAGCAACATAAGGGCGCAAAATAGGATGCATTCCAATTGCAGCACGAGTGCGTCGCCAGACCAATATTCCTCAACAACCAGACTTTGGCATCTGATCTGCCGGTTCCTTTCCAATCAAACCAGATTCAAAGTACCCTGGAAAAGGACAAGACAATATTTAAATCAAGAAAGCAGTGTGTGCGCCTCAAAATACAAAGAAACAAACACCCTGAACTAGGACTCCGGCGTTAGACGAGAGACCAGCTTGATCAAACATGCAATACCCTCGTTTGATCTTTGTTTTGATTCACACCAAGATCCATTGGTCCAGCAAGGTAATGAAACAAAACCTATGGGTTAAACCCTTCCAATCCAACATTTAACCCCTTCCATTGGCCCAAGGCAAGCTTTCGGTGACCCGCCTGCGACAGATCCGCCTCTTCAAACCTCGAAGGCCAACCAAAAGGAACCCAGTCGTCGTGTTTTGAGGGTCTTCTAACTTTGAGATGCGCCCACGTCTGGCACTACATCCAGCCTGACTTTCTCCGGCCTGATGACCCGAAACATCCAGAGAGGACGGTCCAAATGGGGCTGCAGAATGACGTTCTCCCGCACAGGCCACACGCAAACCAACAATGCAGTTTGGAACATGTCGCCTCTCAGTAGAGGATCCTGTCAATCTCCGCAGGGGATTGGTCTGATGCAATGCAAGTGTCATGCAAAACGAGACCTTCCCAAGCTCAAAGTCCAAGAGCCTTAAGATGTGTCTTTTCAAAGAACACGCTCACGTCTGATGCTGACTCTGGAATCGAGCTTGGCTCCTGGCGAATGCATCCCCAAGTATTGTTCAGGACCCGATGAATTAGACGTGCAATCCAATGGCTGCAGAAAGGCATACAGGCCACAAGCGATTCTTCTCCCACCCGTTCAACACACACCAAGTGCGGGGGCTCAGTCCTGGCCCGGAAAGTCGAGTCACAACTAGGCACACCGCCAAGATGGTGAACATCAGCCAAATGGAACAAAAAAATGGGAGGTCCCGTCGAAGGAAGAGATCTCGCGCATGTTGCAAGAAAAGGTCGCAAATGTGTCCTGCTAACATTTACCTTTCGGAAATAGGACGCCCACAAAGGTTTGTGGTCATACTTCATTATCTTTGCGCTAAATCTCAAACATCAAAACACGGACAGGATGGCTACATGAGCCATCACATATGCAGATATGCATCACCAGCACACAAGCCCAAAACGTCCCAGCAAAACCCGCACTAACGATACCAAGATTTACAGCCACGTGTCTTGCAACAAGCACAAATCAAGCACAACCACTTACTGCAATTCTCGGGCCAAGCGCGCATTTTCTTCCTTGGGATGGATGTGGCCTCAGGCCAAATGGGGAAAAGAGGTTCGGCTCCGGCCGCACAAGCCTCAACTCCGTCACACAGTGACACAACAGCAAAGCCCTACCTTTGTCTCCAAGGCTTGCTGACTCCGGGTGGGCGGGTGGGTGCAAAAATGAGGAACCGCAGTCCCTCCCCCTCACCACTTGAGCCCCATCAACGTCGGGCAATCATCTCAAGCCTTCAGTGGTTCACATGTGTCATGTGGGTCAAGTTGTTAACTCATTACAACTTGTCACGCAATGTGTTGTTTGAGACGCTACTCTGTTTAGCACAAAGATAGGTTTATCAAACTTCGTTTGAAAATAACCGTCTCTCCACTAAAAAAGAGAGAACGAGATCCTGGCCTGTTGGCAGACCACATGTGGGAATCAGCACAATTGGCAACAGCTTCGTCGTGGGTTTCCTTTCACAAACATCCACAAAGGAGTCCCACCAAGTCCTGGACAGACCCATGCGATACACTAGTTTCCTACACTAGTTTCCTCCATGCCTGTTGCTGCCCAACCATGTGGCCAAAGCCACAAAGATTGAGGATACAGGTGCGAAATCCATAAGGACATGCAGCTCCAAGCGCATCGAGTTTTCGCCCGCAGCTGCTCCCAGATCTCAAGATCGATGCCGGCCTTACAAGAACCGGCGCCGGCGCGATTGGGCATCATAAAAACAAGAGGTGTGGATTCAAAGTGGCATAACCGGGTCCCTCAAATGCCTGCAAGCTACACAAATGAAGGCGCCAGGTCGTGGCTTTACCTTTCCCCCTCAAGAACAGATATGTACCTTGGATCCGACGACAGCTTTTCTTCGCCCTGCTTGGAGGTTCGGAAGTGGTTTCCCATGTACAATCATTCCACTTGCAACGCCAGGTGCGCAAGCCAGTGAATGTGGCAAGCAGCCTTCTCCCGTCCTTCCATCATGAATTTACTTGTTATGATGCAGCTCTGGGAGATGTATTGACTGGGTTGTTGTTTTCCTCATGCATAAATGAAATTGGAGAGTTGAGGAAGCAACCTGAGATGAAAAGTGCAATTGCAAAAAAAGAAACCAGCTGAAGGGGATTCTCTCAACTTTGCGAAATTCATCATGGCCCAATTGAAGTTTGCCTGCTTGCTGGCTTGTCTCCTTTTCCCTGCCCCCCCCCCCTCGCCTCTTCCCGGGCTCAAAGTGCACGGACCTCCTCAGGTACCAAGATTACAACACCCCAACCCCACCTAGCCCCTTTCACCCCCCTTAGCTCTCCGCCCGTGACCTACGAATTGGCCAGATGGTCCGACATGCAACAAGCTCCGAAAGGCATTGGTTTTCCTGACAAGGGCAAAAGTCCGGGTGTTCTTCATCTATGTCACAGGATACAGCAGAATTGATATGTGTAATATGCAAGAAGACCAGAAAGCACGCGCACCCCACGAGACAATAGTCACAGACTTGTCCGTGACCACAACAAAAATTGCAAAACAATCGGGCCTTTGCATCTCAACCTGCCCGATCCGGTCAAACACGAAGCCTGAAACAGTTTCAAACCCTCAGGGTTTGGCACGTGTGCAAGTGTGCCGTCCAAGAGTGCTCCTGCAAGTTCTCGCGTGCAAGCGTGTTTGTGCAAGTAACTTCTCGAGTGCAACGCTCTTACGCAATTTATCCGTGCAAAGTCTCTGCGCACAGCTTCTGCGTGTGTGCTTCCAGAAGGCCGCGTCCCGAAATCCCGTTTTGATCTATCCGGTTCACCTTCTACGATCTTTGGGGAACCTGCATAGATTTGCCAAAAACATGTCCGATCCATTTCTTGCCCGCCTCGTCTGAAAAGACTGGCTTGCACGCAAAGTGAGAAGGACCTCATGTCTAAATCATGATTTGTTAAACCAAAGAGTTGGACCACATGTCAGCACAAGCCCTGTGAGTATCTGTGAGGCCAAGGTTAGTGGCCCCATGAAGAAGCAGCTAGGCCGCAAGAACATGCATCTTACAAATCTTACAAACACCAAAGCAGAGGCTTTTTGGGGAAGAAAGGGCAAAAGTTTCGTGCTGTTTGGTTGGCACCGGACACCCTTTGCGACCTGCGACTCGCGAGTTGGCAGCCACACTCGCGAGGTCTGAGCGCGAGGTGCTGGGGCCTGGGCGGTGCGCACAAAGTCGTACACAAAATGGTCTTTACCGCTTTAGCGGAAAGGAGCAAACTGTGCGGTCATTTTGCGCCGTCAACAAGACAGTCATAGCCACCGCACATGGCTACAGCTACAGCAAGGCTACCAACGGCCATCATGGCCTGATGGTAGAAACAAGTTCCTAGCAGAGAGCTTCAGGTCTGGCCTGCCCTGTTAATCCAGAAAAAATGCACTTGTTTCAGCTTAATTGGTGGGTTGGATTTTTGGTTTGGATTGGTGATTTGGAGGTTAGGAGGGCGATGTCCCATTTATGCAAGACCCGCCAAACCACCAAATATGGGGGTTGCGTGACTGTTTGTGTTGGTTGACAATAGCAAGCAAAGTGTAGTGGCTAGACCAGCTATAGTCTCTTTGTTTTGGAAGTGCTTAAGAAAGAACTTGAGGAAAATTGTAGTCAGATTCAAGAACTCGAGAGCTTGCTTTTTCTGGATCAACATCCTGAGCAAGACTCTTCTGCCGATTGTGACTTGAGTCTGCTCGCAGCCCATCATCCTGGCCTCCTGCAACACAAATCCTTGCGTTTCGTGGGTCATGATTCCGGTGCGCTTTGACTCCAGAATCAAAGCCTGGTGAGAGACAAAACAGCGGGACCATGGTACATTGACCGCAGGGTCGCCTCTTCAACGATGGAAGACGGTTATGCGCCCGCGCCGCCGCTGCCGGCTTTCCTTTGGAAGACGACCGCTGGCCACGTCAGCATCATGCTCCCGAAGTTGGGACCTCGGGGCCAAAACGGAACTTGCAGGGCATGTTGGAATTTGCCCGCTAATTGAAAAGCCAGTCTCCATGAGGATTCACCAAAAAGAAGCCTGATCTATGGGTTTGTTTCTTCCATCGGCCAAAACAGGACTAACGCCTGGCCTCCTGCTGGACGCCAACCAAACTTGTGAAACTCCCCAAGGATCAACTCCATGGGATACGCATACGGCCACCAGGAGTTCTGCATGGACATGCAGGCATGGCCTGTGGTCATCTTGGTGTTTCGGAAGGAGAAGTCGAACTCCTTGTCGTAGTCGTCCTGACCGTAACGTGTCTCAAACCAGTCCCGCTTGGCTAAAAGACGAAAACCAAATATTGGAAGGGTGCCCATTACAACAGGCGCCAATGTTCGCTTGTTGAAAGATTAAGCTTCTGTCTACAACCTGAACGACCCATGCAAGGGAGCGTGGCGTCCTTTGAATCAATGGCCCAGAAAGGATATGGATCTCCCATGGAGAGAAGGGGGCCAAATGGCCTTTGGCTGGTTCTTTGCTTTCTCCAAACTAAACTGGGACAATGGCCGAGCCTTCCAAATCCCGTCCTTGCGCTGTTCACAGTCTGGGCCGCTGAGCACCTTAAATCCATTCAGGAGCCCCTCGCAGACCTCCTTCTCCACCCCTCCGATGCACACCTTCGCAACGAAAGAATGTCGGAACAAGCCGTACCCACAATCGGCGACATACGGCAAATCCAAGACCCCCAAAAACAAACAAGTGAGGTGTAGAAAGCTTGAATCTCCCCCAAAAATTCCCAAAGTCCCTCTCCGAGCCTTCCCCGGCATGTTCTGGTCCTTGATGGCCACAAAGGCCGTCTCCCAGGGCTCGCCCGTGTACTCCCAGATCATACCTAGAGCCAGCGCCGGCTGAAGCAAAGCGAGAAATGGAATCGTGCCCTTGGCGCTGGATTCTATACCCCGAAGACAGGAAACAAAGGGAAAAAGCACGCCAGGAATGGCGTGGCCCCTTCGTTTCAAGGGCAATCCGCCCATGAGGTGTCATTTTCGGAGAAAAACGAGTCCCTTCCCAAACAGAAAAAGCAAACCCAACTTCCGCAAGCAAGGAAAACGGAAGAGGCTAATCCATTTTTCAGCTGGAGCACTGGGCCACGATGCACTCATGCCACCGAAGCTGGGGCAGGCGGTGAGCTTCCAGCCCGCCTTGCCCATGGTATTCGTGATCGCCAGGATGGCGTCGTTTTTGGGGAAGTAGGCGGTCTGGATGGCAATGCCCCATGCCGTTTGGACATGACAAAAACACAGTCCTTGAACTCAACATGTTGGGCTTCACACTTGCACAGGATGGGATTCAGACCACAACACCTGAAAGGCGTTCTAAAAAAGAGATGACTGTTCGAGGTTGCGGTGGAACGACCCAAAGCAAAGCAAGGTCGCCAAAGCATGGTGCGCAGTCGGAACGCACAGACAGGGCCCTTTGACCGACAAGGCGAGGAATTTGGACACGGTGAAATAGTGGGCCACGCAGGAAGTGTTGAGCAGGGCTCATTTTGCTTTTGATGTGTTCAGGATCGGGGTCCCAGATTCAGCAACTGGGATCAGAGCACTGGGTCCTCCGAGACGTGAAAGCTGTGCCCCTTCGAAGTCAGGGGTTGCCGCAAATGTTGGGTTCCTGTTGTTTCGATATGGATGGCAGATTCTCCTTGTTTGTAGAAGCAGACAATAACAATGACCCCAGTCTGTTTTGCAGATGTTCGGTTCCCACTACCTTGATATCAACGGGAGACCCTCGTTGGTTTTGACAGAAGCAGCCGAAAACATGACCCCAGTCCTGAAAAAATGATGGCTTTGCATGCGTTGCCACCCACCTTTTGTGAAATGAGATCCAATCAACCCGAAAGCCGTCGGCAAGACCTTCCCGCCTTCAAGCTGAAGGCCTGGTGCCCCGTGGTGATGGACGTGTTGCGTATCACTTGGTCCCAGTCATCATCGTATTCCTTACGATTGGGCATCGGATCGGATCGGCGTTCGAACCCTTCCACAAACTAGGTGTGAAAGAAACCGTTGGATTGAAATGGGGAAAACAGATTGGGGTCCTCCACTCTTGAGACACCACGTTGTTTGGCATCATTGGTCTGATCATCTTTGTATGTCGAGGAGTGTTGACGGTTGCTCACACAAGATGTCGCTAGTCCGCTCAGACAAAACTTTGGAAAAGGTGAAACAAGGCATGCCTGGCTTGAGGGCTGAAGGACTGAAACGGCCACACCAAAAGCAAAGGCTGAGCTAAAGCCAGGCAAATCTCGTCCTTTGACAAGGTGACCTGGTCGTTCCCCTTCACCTTGATCAGCGCATCGCGCAGCAACTTGGCCACATCCCCCACCTCAGGCGCCCCCGCCAAACAAAGCTTGCCCGGGATGTTCTGATCCTGCAGGCCAAAACGCCACTTGAACAACCTTAAACACAATCGCTGCCCATGTCAGGCGATTCGCGGCCTAATCCATTTCGGCAACTTGTCCTTCATCGCGGCCAGGATTAGGGCCGGCGTCGACGCGGGACGCTCCAGCAGTCGCTTGAAAATGAAGCAAGGCCAGTCCACGTCGTTGCCCCCAAAGTTGGGCGTCGAGACGAGCCGCCAGCCCAGCTTGTACACCTCCTCGATGATGGTGAACACGACCTGGGCACAACTGTGGGGTGTTGCCGCATTGCCTATTATTGAACCGTCAGCTTCTGGTGCTTCCCATGACCCTTCGCAACTCGGGCCTTGCCCTTGGGGAAGTACGGCTTCGCCAGGCTGAAGGCTTGCATGCCCGAGGTGATGGAGGTGTTGCGCCACACCAGGTCCCACTCCTTGGCGGTGTCGTAGTCGTCAAAGGCCTCCGTGGCCTGCGACCCCACGGCTACGGTCTTAACAACCTCCACTCGCTCTCCGTAAGCGCGACTCTGCTTGCTGAAAAACAAAGGCCCCAACCCTGGGCCTCTGGGCTGATCTGCTTGAGCTTGCTCGCAAAGTCTCCTCGCCATGCTTGGTAACGAGCCCTTTCTGTGCTACCAAAGTGGTTTATTCCCATCACTATGACTACTCTGTCACAACAAGTGGGATTCCATTGGCATCACCGAAAGTAGCAAAACACACACACACACACACACACATAATTTTCCACAATGCTCCTTTCAGCTGCTCGATCACGTCGGCAGGCCCGCAAACGCACAGCTTGCCGGGAATGTTTTGATCCTTGATGCCTCAGTTGCTGCTGGGAGAGAAATCCATCGCTCATTGGGTCATTACCCTTGATCGATTGGGACAAAAGCCAAAGAAACCCTGACTGAAAGCAGACAGGATGCCGAAGAAAAGGGTCTCCTTCAAGTTTGGCCCAAAAACATGTTTGAGCACATGAGTCCTGGTTAGGAGTTTAGATATCAACTCCTTCCGGCTTCCATTCAACATCGGAATATGTCAGGTCTGGCAAGGTATCAAAGCCCAATTCTGCGACCACAGGCCGTCTCCTTGGCATACTGCTTCTCAACGTCCTTCTCGCAAATGATCATGGGCCACTCAACTGATTGCTTGTCGGAGATCGGCCCGCCGTAGCTGGGGGCGGCCGAGGGGATAAAGCCATGCTCGCCCAGGGCATCCAACAAGCCCACGACGTGACGGCCGATCGGGAAGAAGGGTTTCTTTAAGGACAGGAACTGATAGCCGCTGGTCATTTTGGAGTTGTGCCAAGCGATGTCCCAAAGCTTGTCGTGCTCGTCTGTGCCGCGTTCCACTCCGGTGTTCGTCTTCTTGACGGCTGCGTCCACTGATGCAACGAGTTGTGGGTCACTCGTCGGCGCTCCGCTCAGGTACACTTTGCCAACCATGTTCTGGTCCTTGATCCCCAGAATGACGAAGTCTTGACCTTTGCCATTGCCGCGCGTCTTTTGGATGTGTGCTTGGGAGGCCGGATGGTCCACGTTCACTGACCCACAGCACCCCATGGCTGAAAATGTTGGGCGGCTAGTGTGCGAGCCAAACGATCTGCTCTTGGCAACTTCGAGTTTGCTGGCAAGCTCTTGCTGGCAGAAAGATACGAGAATGTTCGTCTCGTCTCAGACCATCTTGTCGCATTCCTTTTGCCTCAACAGCCAAAACCCTAACTCTTGAAGATTAAAAGCCACATTTGCAAATCATCCTCTGGCCATGTCAAAGCACCCTGGGCCCGGGCCATCACCTGCGGCGAAGCGGGTAACCCTGCCACACGCAGCGTGGCAGGCCGAAGCAGGCGACGCAGTCCTCGAATTGCATCAAGCGCCAGTTTCTGTGGGCGTATTTTGAAAGTTCGCTATTTTCTGCAGCGGTCCCTGGGAAAATCCCACGGCAAGTATCGCACTGCTGTGTATGACATGTTGCCTCAGACTTGCCAGGCGGGCAAGCCTTGGAAAAAGACTGAAATCGTCGTCACCCAAACGCAAGAGAGTGCGTCCGAACTTCAAGGACTGACCCCGAGTTGGGCTCCAACTTTGCCTGTGCTTTGAAGCAGTGCATGGCTGTTTCTGTTGGTGTGCACACCGACCCATGTTTGCTCACAGCCTGACTCCTCGCAACGGCTGAGGCAAGTGTGGCTTGTGCAAACAACATCAAGAGTTGGCAATCCGACTGACATGGTGTCTGGAAATATCTTTAAGTATGCTGTTCAAACATTTGTTTGTAGAGGACATACTGAGGTAGGTCTGGGCAATCACTTGAGTGGACGCTTGCGCGTGTCTGTTAACCTGCAAACCCTTCTTCCCTGCTCCCTTTTCTCCTCTTTTCTTAGCCAGCACCAACCATTTCGCTTGCGTCTCGGGTTGCGACTAAGGAGGGAAAAATGTTTACCCTGCGGCTAAGGGTTGAAAAAACAAATGCGCTGCGAATAAGGGGGGAACAATGTTTACCCTGCGACTAAGGGGGAGAAATTTTTTACCCTGCAACTCGACTAAGGGGGAAAACTAGAACGCTGCGACTAAGGGGGAAAAACAATCTACCTTGCGACAGAGGGGGAAATACTAGTACCCTGCGACCAAGGGGGAAAAATTATATGCTGTGACTAAAATGAACAACTTCTACCATGCGACAGAGGGGGAAACTTTACTAAGCGATTAAGGGGGACAATCAAGTGCTTGGCTTCCTGAAACAACCTTTCTTGCCAGCAACGCTACCCAAAACTTGCGCACACGAACAACCCTTAGCGACAATGTCCAATGCTGCAACAGTAGAGAAGGGAGAGCAAGTAGGGACATCGGAACCAAGTTACCCAGCCATCAAATGGCAAAAGTCGCCCTCAAGCAACATTCCAGCGTAGGAAAAAGGCACAATAAAAGAGACAATGAAACCAAACAACTCCGTTTACGGGGAACTGCTGAAGCGCAAAGTCCACGTCGGCAAAGCCGGAGCCACAGCGCGGATCCTCAAAAGAGCGTGGCCCCATCACCGAAGTACGCTACCACCTGGAACGGCCCGGCTGATTAGTGAATACAAAGAAAAAACAAAGGACTTGTTTTTGCATTTCGCAGCCACGGTGTTCAATGCTTGCAAAAGAAACAACTACCACTACCCTAGCGGTACTAACCTTAGAGGCTGACAGCAAAACGCAAGAAGAGAACAGAACCAACAAGCAAAACACAACACAAACAAACAAACCAGCAAAACAAGAAGAGAGGGCAGCCAGCCACCGGGGAAGCATATTACGTTTTGTGATTCAGGCACGAACCTGTGCCCAGGCGATGGGTTAGTTGGTAAACAAGCCACAAAGAAAGGTTCCCCAAAAGCAAACCAATCCCCGGTCCCAAAGATCAGGGTTTCCCACACACCAGAGAACAACAACCAAAAGGAATAATCAAAACAAATAAACAAGTACCCGCAACCTTGATCGACGATGAACCGCACGGGCGGACCCCACCAATCTGCCCCGGGCCGATGTCTCTTTCTCCACCGACACGAAGGTGATCGACGCGGGGACCCGGCGACGCTCATCCAAGGCGCGACGGACCCGCAAACTTGAGCCAAACACCACCGGTCAGTCACTACCGCGACTTCCCAGATGATGATTTAAACCATGGCTAACCACACCCCCCTCACGAGGAGCCCGTCATATGACGGGTGGAGCGTGCCATTTACTGATAGGGTTTAACTGCTCGCATACGTCCGCAAACAGCTGGACACTACCGCCGTCAGCGGTGGAGCAAACCCACAAAGGCAGTCGCGCGACATCCCGGGCATTAAAATCCCGCCACCACCCCGAATTAATCGGGGTAACGCTGTCCAACATACCTTGTGGAAGAGTCCACATGACGACAATAGGCCACAACTGATTGCATCACAAATGCAAGTAGTTAAATTCTTATCAGAAGCCATAATACAAAAAGGATATCATTTGTCGATTTTGTACCCTTGCCTATCGGCGAGAGGTACACCTGACCATGCGTGCTTGAAAAACACAAATTCCGCAAACCTGGGAGTATCCTCCACCGGTTTGCATCCCCGCTCACTCACACTACTTCTTGGTGACCATCACCAGCAGCCGAACAGCGGTGCAGGAGAGACACGAACAACACGCCTCAGCAGTGCAGGATGAACATGATCATCACCCCGCAGCGTCGACCATCGGAGAGCGATCTTATCGCCTCCAGCCCGGTGAGCGCCTCTCCTTGGAATAACATTATTCCCAGGTCCGAGACGGGTCTTCCCGAGACGGATCTTCCCAAGACGGATCTTATCGCCTCCAGCCCGGTGAGCGCCTCTCCTTAGAATATCATTATTCCCAAGTCCGAGACGGATCTTCCCAAGACGGATCTTCTGGTCCGAGACGGATCTTTTCACCTCCAGCCCGGTGAGCGCCTCTCCTTAGAATAACTTTATTCCAGGTCCGAGACGGATCTTCCCGAGACGGATCTTCTGGTCCGAGACGGATCTTTTCACCTCCAGCCCGGTGAGCGCCTCTCCTTAGAATAACTTTATTCCCAGGTCCAAGACGGATCTTATCGCCTCCAGCCCGGTGAGCGCCTCACCTTAGAATAACATTAAACCCCTTCCCGAGACGGATCTTTCATCCTGGTCCGAGACGGATCTTATCGCCTCCAGCTCGATGAGCGCCTCTCCTTAGAATAACTTTATTTCAGGTCCGAGACGGATCTTTTTACCTCCAGCCCGGCGAGCGCCTCTGCTAGAATAACGTTAAACCCCAGTCCGAGACGGATCTTTTCACCTCCAGCCCGGTGAGCGCCTCTCCTTAGAATAACATTAAACCCGGACGGATCTTTTCACCTCCAACCCGGTGAGCGCCTCTCCTTAGAATAACATAAACCCCTGCCCGAGACGGATCTTTCAGACGGATCTTTTCACCTCCAGCCCGCTCCTTAGAACACCATTAAACCCCTGCCCAAGACGGATCTTTTCACCTTTAGCCCGAGACGGCCCGGCGAGCGCCTCTCCTTCATTAAACCCAAGTCCGAGACGGATCTTTTCACCTCCAGCCCGGTGAGCGCCTTTTCTTAGAATAACATTAAACCCCTGGATGGGGCGGTAGGTGGCGTTGCTCAGTAGCCTCCTAGACGAAGTCCCACACCGTGCCCCCCTCGTAGGCGAGGCCTGTGAGAAGTCCGCGCCCGCGCCGTCCAGCTCGCTGCTGCTGCTGCGCACGCTGTAGACCACCTCCATGCTGCGCGCCCACAGGCCTATCATCGCGTTCACGCTGAGCTTGGCCATGTGCTCCTCGCCCTTGGGCCAGGCCTCGTCCGTCCGCTCCAGCGCGCCGCAGCGTCGCCGCGCCGACGTGGCTCCGCGCGGAGATGCCCGACACGATGTGGTCCCAACGAAACCTTCGGGCACCAGCCGGGCCCCACGTACGGCAACAAATTCAGGCAGGACTGCCTCGCGTCGCAGCAGCCCTCCGCAAAGCCCAGGTCCGGCAGCACGCCGTCCACGGGCTCAACGCCGTCGGCCGGGCACAAGATCGGCAGGGGGAAGGGGGCGTTGGCCAGCCCGTTGCGCCTGCAGCGCACCACGTCCACGCCGACCAGCAAAGCGTCTCTCTGGCACGCCTGCGCCTCAAAGACGAGGGTTGGGGCTCCGGGCGTACTGCTCCATGACGCCGGGCGCCACTCGGCTCTCCAGGCTCGTGGGCTGCGCGCTCTCTCTCATGCAGCGTCTTCTTGCGCAGAGTAAATCCGCCACGTCCTCGAAGTAGTACCACTTCGTTCGCGCGTCGTCGCCATCCCTCCTAGCGAACGCCTTGCCTTCTCTTTGCTGCTCTTCATAATATTTCTTCTGTTTGTTGAAGTGAGCAGTGAAGTCCGGCTTGTAGTGATAGCGGAGGTCGGAAACCGTTTGCGCGTCCAGCGTGAGCACACCCATGATTATCTCGACGATCAGCCTCTTTTGCAACACGTAGAAGAGCTTGGAGTCTCCGGCTATAGTTGCAATCCGTCGTTCGAGACACTTGCTTCCGCATGAGGTCTGCCTATACACCCCTAATTATTTGGCTTTTTTGGCAACAAAACCCGCCAAAACAGCCAAATTTCCAACCAGCTGAACTCGTCACCAGTGATGTCACCGCTCCGTCGCCGCTCCGTTTTTGGTGCAAAAAGCGCTGAAAACGGCGAACTCCGAAAAGTTTGTTTTTTCGTGTCAGACGTCAAAAGTGGTGCCTGGGCCACCAAATTCGCTCGTTTTCCGCCGAAAACCGGCTCCAGACGGTCGCTGTGCTCCGAATTCCGTTTTCTGCCCCGAAAAGCCTGCGAATTCCAGCCCGCTGAGCTTGTCACCGTTTGTCACCGCTTCGTCACCGCTCGCTTTTTGGGTGCAAAAGTGCGCAAAACCGGGCCCAGTTCCCGAGCTCCTTCTCCGCAGGGTTTTTCGCGGTCCGACAGCCCGCCGAGGACCTGGCTCGGAGCCTGACAGCCTGCCAAGGTTCTCCCACGTAACACGTCAGCCTGCTGAATTAGTCACCGCCGATGTCACC